AATACATTTTAAACAAATTATATTTGCCTTAAGTTCAAAACTCATCAATTAAACGTGTCTAACCTTTTTTTCACTTTTAAGTGTCGCAGTGTCTGGAAAATTGAAAACGAAAACGTAATTTTCAATGATTAGTTCAGCGATTTTTCCTTCTACACGTTTCTCCATAAAGTTGTAATACTGTCTGGACGTAAAACTTTGATGTAAATATTACATAACATTAATTAAAAGTTGCCTTCCATTATCATCACTATCAATAAAATACAATTTCAATTTCATTTGCATATTTAGCTTCAATGTTAAATATTTAATTTATTTGTGCTAATTTGTAGATGCGCTATTTAATAATTAGTTTATATAGAAATAAATTTTAAAATTTATTTAAGTTTAATATGATTTTCCGTCTTAACTGCAACACGTGCATTGAAATTAACGTAAATTATTTTCACACACAGACGCAACGAAAAAACATTTAAATATATTTTAGCCCACGCTCACGCATTCTCAGACATTTGTATATGCATGGATGCATGTTAGGGCGGCCCAGTTTGCAGTTGGAAAAGACTTAAGGAAACAAAAGTTAAGTTCATTCGAAAATATATATTTTCGAAAATTTTATCCGGGGCTAATCTTTTTTGAGCTGGATCAAGAATAAAAAAAATATTTTACACAAAGGAATGTTAAAAAATTTTAATATCATTTGAAAGAGATCTTTGAGAAGATTTGTAAGAAATATTAAACAAATATATAAAAACCTCAAAGAGGACCCATATATACTTTGATCTAGCTCACTAAATATTGACGTTAGGATCAACAATTTGAGAAACTATATCTTAGAATAAACTACATTTTCACTTTCGGCGGGAACATCAACAAATTCGTTTTTTGAGCCACCCTAATGTGCATACATATATTTTTATCACACCGGCAGAACAGTTAGAAATGTTTTCATTTTAAAGTTTTCTCTTATGTGGGACTTAAATGTTTTATTTGGATTTTCTTTTAGTGATATATATTAGTGAATATATATTTCCGCATTAATTAAATAAAAAATATTACGGTATAATCTTACATTTCAATATTTTATAAATTTACTTCGACATTTCATTTAAGCGATCTTTAAATATTAATAACTATACTGCAAGATACCACTCTCTCTCTTAATCGATCTTTAGATAGGTAAACTAAAAAGTTTGAAGATTTTTGAAACCTAGTTTCCCTTCCATTTCTGAGATATTAAACCGAAGGTTTAATTTAATCCTTGTCTTTATTCCAGACATTTCCAATTCAGGGTCGTACCGCGGTATTCGATATCGATCGAAATTTCCAGTTCAGTTCTAGTTGAGTTCTAGTTCTGTTCTAATTCTGTTCTAGTTCTGTTCTAGTTCTGTTCTAGTTCTGTTCTAGTTCTGTTCTAGTTCTGTTCTAGTTCTGTTCTAGTTCTAGTTCTGTTCTAGTTCTGTTCTAGTTCTGTTCTAGTTCTGTTCTAGTTCTGTTCTAGTTCTGTTCTAGTTCTGTTCTAGTTCTGTTCTAGTTTGTTCTAGTTCTGTTCTAGTTCTGTTCTAGTTCTGTTCTAGTTCTGTTCTAGTTCTGTTCTAGTTCTGTTCTAGTTCTGTTCTAGTTCTGTTCTAGTTCTGTTCTAGTTCTGTTCTAATTCTGTCATAGTTCTGTTCTAGTTCTGTTCTAGTTCTGTTCTAATTCTGTCCTAGTTCTGTTCCAGTTCTGTTCTGTTCTTGTTCTTGTTCTTGTTCTTGTTCTTGTTCTAGTTCTAGTTCTAGTTCTAGTTCTAGTTCTGTTCTGTTCTAGTTCTGTTCTAGTTCTGTTCTAGTTCTGTTCTAGTTCTGTTCTAGTTCTGCTCTAGTTCTGTTCTAGTTCTGTTCTAGTTCTGTTCTAGTTCTGTTCTAGTTCTGTTCTAGTTCTGTTCTAGTTCTGTTCTAGTTCTGTTCTAGTTCTGTTCTAGTTCTGTTCTAGTTCTGTTCTAGTTCTGTTCTAGTTCTGTTCTAGTTGTGTTCTAGTTCTGTTCTAGTTCTGTTCTAGTTCTGTTCTAGTTCTGTTCTAGTTCTGTTCTAGTTCTGTTCTAGTTCTGTTCTAGTTCTGTTCTAGTACTGTTCTAGTTCTGTTCTAGTTCTGTTCTAGTTCTGTTCTAGTTCTGTTCTAGTTCTGTTCTAGTTCTGTTCTAGTTCTGTTCTAGTTCTGTTCTAGTTCTGTTCTAGTTCTGTTCTAGTTCTGTTCTAGTTCTGTTCTAGTTCAGTTCTAGTTCTGTTCTAGTTCTGTTCTAGTTCTTTTCTAGTTCTGTTCTAGTTCTGTTCTAGTTCTGTTCTAGTTCTGTTCTAGTTCTGCTCTAGTTCTGTTCTAGTTCTGTTCTTGTTCTGTTCTAGTTCTGTCCTAGTTCTGTTCTAGTTCTGTCCTAGTTCTGTTCTAGTTGTGCTCTAGTTGTGTTCTAGTTATGTTCTTGTTCTGATTTTTGACTACTACCGGTGTTAAAAATTCTAAATATCTGCACTACCAGAAGTACAATTATCATCCGAAATAAAATTATAAAAAATTAGTTTTAATTACTATGAAGTTATTTATGTCTGTGCACTTGTATGGGGCAACTCAAATATAGTTATCTATGGAAAAAAATACATATATTTTTTTATTTATGCATACGGAAGAGGTCTTATTAAGCACAAGACAAATCATTGTCATCCTCTAATAAAATTTTCTTAAATAAATGCATTTTAGACTTTGGACAATACTCAAATGTTTCCGTAATAATTTATAGTGCTAGGTAGATAAAGACAAAGATTTAATTTAATTACCTTTTTAAAATAGAAAATCATCTCACTTATATTTATCACTTAAAAATGGCGGGAATTAATTGAAAACGTTTTCTTTTAGTATTCAAAGTTCCTCTAAATATGCTTTAATATGATAGATTTGTTTAACATTTTTTCAACACATGTTAATTTCTACTACATGACTTTAATTGCAATTAATAGTTTATTATTGATGGTTTTTTCTAATTGCATTACAAATCTATAAATAATTAAATTAATTTATTATGTTCATTGTTTTTATTTTCAGTTTTCTTTGTTTATTGATTTTATTACTAATTTGTAAATAATTAATAATTTTTAGTTATTTTATTAATTTTATACATAATTTGTTTAACATTTCATTATCAGTTAAGTTTTATTTATTATTGCTATAAAACAACAACAACAACGATAATAAAGACAACGTAAATTCTTTCCTGATCTAGCAACAAAAACAATTAAAATTTTATAAAATACGTAGAACTGATGCTGCAGCTATGGATGATGATTGTTCTTTCTGATCACTTAGTAACTGACATTTTATTTTCGGAATGGAAAAATTATAAAATGTTTTTACTATTTATTTTTATTTCACTTGACTTTTTCTTTTTTTTTGTAATCAACTTTATTATTGAAATTACTAAAAAAATGGGATTTTTTGTTGTTTTAAACCTTTAGTTTTTCTTGGGAAATCAATGCTGTCAGTGACTGTAGTTTAGAATAATAATTTGAATTTGATTATTTAATTATATAATAGTTATTTATCTAATAGAGGTGATACTGAAATACCCTACTTACATCAGAACAATTGTGTTGTAGTAAATTAAATAAAATCTTTGACCAGAAACATTTTCGTTATAATTTCTGACTATTTTTTTAATTCATTTACAAAAATAGTCAGGTGTCAGGTACTTTTTTCAAAATCGGCCCTTTTGGTGAGTAAATGGATAAAACCTGTATTTTGGTACTATTTTAGTTCCCTATGTATCTGATGAACCAATAAACATTCAAAATGCGACTTTAATATCTTGGACTTATGAATATTCGTACATTTAAGGGTTGAAAATAGTACCTATTTTTTATACCTTTTCAAACAACTTTGTTTTCTGTTTGTAGACCTATACATGGGATTACATATTGATGGGCTTCCGTTATGATATTACAGTTTTTTCATAACTCAATAAAAGTACCAAAAGTGGATAAAAATGAGAAAATTTTACGAAATTGAAACTCATTGAGCCAATTTCGATAGAATTTGAAAAATTGGTAGATGTAATAATAGTATTGTCCTACAGTAGGTTAGTGGTTAGTGTTCTACTGGTAAAGGGAGCACACAAAGCCCGATAGAGGCCAAGGTGTATTTTTTCGGATTTGATGAATATACATACACCCTAATTTCTAACTAACTAACTAACTAACTAACTAACTAACTAACTAACTAACTAACTAACTAACTAACTAACTAACTAACTAACTAACTAACTAACTAACTAACTAACTAACTAACTAACTAACTAACTAACTAACTAACTAACTAACTAACTAACTAACTAACTAACTAACTAACTAACTAACTAACTAACTAACTAACTAACTAACTAACTAACTAACTAACTAACTAACTAACTAACTAACTAACTAACTAACTAACTAACTAACTAACTAACTAACTAACTAACTAACTAACTAACTAACTAACTAACTAACATGAGAATCTCTTAAAAAAGATTTTAAACCAAAAAAAAACATACAATTAAACATTCAGAGTTCTGTGTAAATGTAAATCTTTGGAATTGTTGGTACTTTTTCGTTTTTTAACTACATAGTACTTTTTGAGTTTTCTATAATTAACATGCAGAAATGATGAAAAAGGCTTTTATGATGAAGTAAGAAAAAGTTCTTACTGTTACTTTTTGAATTTTCTATAATATTGAGACTTGAATCATAAAAGGATTGATTAAAAGCTATATTTTCTTCTTCGGTTACTTTTTGAATTGTCTGAAATAATGAACTTAGAAACATGCAGGAAGAAAAGGGAACTTTCTGATATTTCAGATATATATTCTGACTGAAAATATACAATAATATTTATAAGAGTACGATAATAGTAGCGAAGTTCACTGTGTATAGCTAGTAAATACATATACATACATATTTATTATAAAGATATTTAACTAATACATATTTCTTTTTGCTTTCCAGGTAAGTCATCAAGAATTCTCAAAATGATTTTAAGGTAAAGTACAATTTAAATAATATGTATAACGGAACATATCATAAATTTCTTATCACTTTAATATTACTATACGTCGTCCCACTACTCTTTTCCAATCTATTTAATAAGATTTGTTATTATTTTGTGTCCTAACGAAATCAAGACATTAAAAGAACCAACAAAAAAAGTACAATGAACTACCAGAAATGTCTGCCAACGAAAATACAAATGAAATAAAAATTGAATAGGCAACAACCACCACCAACACATTGTTAGCAGCAGCAACAACAACAACTGCAATTTAGATTTACAAAATATTTAAATAAATTTCAGAAAAAAAAATGTATTTAAAATTAAACAAAATTAAGAAAATCGAGAAGAAAACTAAGAAAAACCCATTGAAATTTTATTTAAAAATAAATTTTCAAAAAAAAAAAGATAAAAATCAAACATATACACATTTACTCTCAGCCGTCTAACAAGCAGGCAAGACCGGCCGGTCGACCAACAGTTGACAGCTAAAATTGTATCCAACAACGAAATTGCTACAGCAACAAACGACATCGTTCGTACCTCATCAACAGCCAACAAATGATTTTCTAAGGAAAAAAATTTTTTTTTTTTTTTTTCGATTTAAAATTTTTCTTCTATTAAATTTTATTTCAGTCACTCACATTAAACTAAATTTGTCACTGAGACACACTAAAAATAGCTGGTCGGCCAACTACAACTATCAAATGAACGAACACCCCACCTCACACCATTTCAGCCGAAAAAAAAGAAAAGAAATTTCACAAAAAAAAACCGAAAGAAAATCTAAAGAAATCATTTGTGCTATTAAAAGACTATGTAGAGTAGAAAACACGGAAAAGCGGAAAAATGTTGTGAAATTAAACATATGTAGCGAGAAAAACTTTCTAGTCTTTTAGTTTGGAAATGACATTTTTTTTGGGAAGTCAAGTTATGGATAAACTTTTGTTTAAGACAGGGAACGAATTCTTGGCATAAGGAGGAGTTGTAATAAAAATTTTATGAAATGGTCTATGTATACCCATCAATCTAAATATATCGATTACATTTTATAAAAATCGCATGGCAATTGAGTTTTTGAGGGAATGTGTTTATCGGCTGGACCATTATATACTGGATTATATAATCATATCCAGTATATAGGCTATAGAAAAAATAATATAATGATATATATTGTACTTCTGCACTCATCTATAGCCTGGAGTCGGACTACTTTGTAGACTACACAAATGGTGTGTTATCTGTATAATAGTCTTATAGTCTGAACTAAAATCGGTCTATAGTCTAAACTATAAATTCATCTCTAGTCAGTACGATAAACAATATGGTCTGTATACTATATAGTCGGTATGTACTCTAGACTGGTATATAGTCTGGACTATAAACTGATATATATATATATATATATATATATATATATATATATATATATATATATATATATATATATATATATATTTATATAGTTCGTACTATAGACTGATCTATAGACTGCACTAAGAACTGATATACATATTTATACAGTTCGTACTATAGACTGATCTATAGATTGCACTAAGAACTGATCGAAAGACTGGAATATATATTATAATTTCGACTATCTACTGAAATATAGTGTGTACTATGGACTGATCTATAGTCTGGACTATATATTGATTTATAATCTTGACTATATATTTAACTATCTATGATCTATTAACCAACCTTTAGTTTTGACTAGAGCCTGATTTATAGCATGGAGTATAGATTAATCTATAGTGTGGGCTATACAATACTCTATAGTTTGGACTATAGATTGATTAACTTATAGTGTGGACTATAGTTAGTTAGTTTAAAAGGAGGATGTATATAATCAAATCCGAAGAAATACACCTAGGCATCTATCTGGCCTCTTGTGCGCTCCTTAACCAGTGCCTCAAGTGGGAATCGAAAACACCACCTCCGGTCTACCAGGCTAGAATACTAACCTACCGGAGCCCACTAGTGTGGAGTATAGATTGATCTATAGTGAAGACTATAGCCTAATATATAGTGTGGATTATGTGGAATTTAGATTGATATACAGTGTGGACTATAGACTATAGAGAATCGATAGATCGTTTGGACTGTAGACTGATCCATAGTCTGGACTATGTACTAATCTATAGTGTGAACTTTAGATTGATCTATAGTGGGAACGTAGACAGATCTATCGTTTATACTGTTGGCTAATCTATAGTCTGGACTTTTGACTAATCTATAATAAGGACTATATAGTCTGGATAATAGGTTAATCTATAGTGTAGACTATAGATTGAACTATAGTTGGGTCAATAGACTAATCTAGAGAGAAGACTATAGACTGATCTTGGACTATAGACTAATATATAGTGTGATCTATAGCATGGACTAAAGACTAATCTATAATAGCTATAGATTAATCAATAGTATTGACTATGGACTGGTCCATAGCCTGGATTATAGGTTAAGCTATAGCGTGGATTTTAGATTGATCTATATTGAGGAATATAAACTGATCTATCGTTTGTATAGAACTATAGTCTGGACTTTAGATTAATCTATAATGTGGAATATGGAATAATCTATAATCTGATCTATAGTGTGGAATACAGACTGATCAATAGTGTGATATATAGACTGATGTATAGATTCGACTATAGACTGATCTATAGTGCGGGCTGTACTGATCTGTCTTTTGGACTATAGACTATAATCTGAACTATAAAGTAATCTATAGTGTGGGCTATAGACTGATCAACAGTGTGGTCTATAGACTGATCATAGTTTCGACTATACTCATCTATAGTTTCGACTATAGACTGATCTATAGTTTCGGCTATAGACTGATCTATAGTTTCGACTATAGACTGATCTATTGTTTCGTCTATAGACTGATCTATAGTTTCGACTTTAGACTTATCTATAGTTCGAACTATTGACTAATCTATAAAGTGGAATATAGACTGATCATTAGTCTGGCATAAAGGCTAATCTATAGTTTGCACTGATCTAGATGCTGAACTGTAGACTGCTCTATACCATGTACTATAGACTGATATATTATAGTCTGAACTATTATAGACGATATAGTGATTTATACATACTTAGATCTATAACTAAACTAGAGACACAAAATCCTTTTACCATATTTATATTTCCCATGCATCTGCAAAACTTCTCAAAGCCAAATTATCTCAAACTGACGTGGTCATTTATTAACTATTTATAACTATTCTTAACTTTTTTATCGTTTTTTTTTTTAATAAATCAAAAACATATATATTATTTAAACAAATCACATGTATGTATACACTGACTGTATTTATACATATATTTACATATACAAGTTTAGATTAAATATTGAAAATTTATTAATTTCTCAATAGAATTTCTAATGTCTAATATTTCTAACTTTATAGAAATACATTTGTTACCATACATATGCATGTATATGTATTTGTGTCTTTGTTTTAAAACGCCCTCTTGACAATTAAATCAATAATTTATACGCAACATACCCGCACTCCATACGTCTGATAAATGTTTGAACAGAATTCAACAACAACAAAAAACTTAATTGTAATCAAAAGAAAATTTTAACATTTTTGCAACAAATTTTATAATTTGCGCGTGTTGCTGATTTTTTTTTTTTTTTTTGTTAAACAATTATTAGTTTTTTTTTTTTTTTTGTTAAGAAAAGTAACAAAAATAAAGTAAATTATGAAATTTAAACATTTGGCGCCTGAATTCTTATCAAAATACTAGAAACGTGTTTCAATTATACAACAAATAATGAGTAAAACTTATACATTTGTTGTCTATACCGAGGATAATATGAATAGGGTGATGAAATGATAAAGATTTTGTCAAAAATTTGCTCTAAATTTGTTCAAGTTTTGTATAACACTTTTTAATAGAAGACTTGCAGTGATCGTGATTGAAAAACTTATTTTGGTAGTTGATTATTTACTCTGTTTGTGATCAATATTCCCATAGAAAAGATCCTCTTTGATCATCTTTGTACAAAAATTTTACTCTGATTGATCGCAATCAGAGCGATCAACTTTTCTACAGATTAATGTGATCTTGCTCCGCTTTTCTAATGAAATTTTGCTCCGATCGTGATCAACTTTTTTCCTCTCATGATCATGATCAACTTTCCTCCTCTGTAGTAATCAGGTTTTCTACTAAAAATGTATCTATGATCGTGCTCCATTTTTCTCTGGGAATTTTACTCCGATCGTGGTCAACTTTTTTATAGAAAAATTGATCTAATTGTGATAAATTTTTCTATTATTTGCTATGATCATGATTAACTTATTTATAGAAAATTTGTTCTGATAATGATCAAGTTTTTTTTTGGTGATCAGCTTTTATTATGGAAAATTATCAATCATATTAAGAAGTTTTCAGAGCGATCTTTCGTGTAACAGAATAATACGTTTAATAACTTTCTTTGCTTAAGTGAGATGCAAAAGTAATCAAAATTTCCCAGTAGACTGATATACCTGTAAAAGGCTTTCCAGTTTCCCCTATTCTTCTCAATCGTAGTATAGTAACTAACTAAACACAATAACTTGAGTTAGGTGAAGAGTATAGTACTGAGGGTTGAACATAAAAGACAACCGTTGGCAAAGTATATTTTTAAATTAGCAACTAAGTAAATTATTTATACACACACACACATACTACTACTACTTTCATAAAAAAAATAATTTATAATTTATTATTTTTTTTAATTTTGTTCATAATTTGCCATTAAAATATTGATAACAATATGATGATGGACTATAAGTACAATGGCAACAACACCGAGAACATTAACAATAAAAAAAGAACTTTTTATAAGAATGATGTCTATGATATGGTTTTTGACACATACATATGTATAGGAATATTAAATGATGACGATTATTCCTGACTGGAAATGGCTAAGTAGGTCGGTCTCCTATACAATATTTAAGTCAATATTTATA